TCATGAGATTTCCAGCGTTGTTTCTATCACTAAGGCCATATTTTTCAACTCCTAATCCTTCTTCGTTTCCAACCTTTGCATCCCAATTGCCAATAATTATCAAAACATCTTGATTACATGTTTGATCAGTTTCAGACTGGAGAAGTTGGTAGAATTCTTCTATTTCATCCTCACTGGCTTTAGCGGTTGGTGTGTAAATTTGAATAATAGTTGTATTAACTGGGCTTCCCTGTAGGCGCGAGGACATTACCCTATGACAATCAGTGTTGTACTTCAAGATAGATCTTGAAATGTGTTTTTTAATGATGAATGTGATGCCATTCCTCTTCAATCTGTTATTCCTGGCATAGCAAACCATGTGAGTATCAGATTCAAAATGGCCAATATCAGTCCATTTCAGCTCACTAATATCTAGGACAACAATGTTTATGCATTCCATTTCATTTTTAATGCATTCCATTTCATTTTTAACACATTCCAGTTCTCCTAGATTCATAGCTTCGTACACTCCATCTTCTGATTATTAATGGATGTTTACAGCAGTTTCTCTTTATTTTGAACTGTGCCTCCTCAGCAAATGAAGGTCCCAAAAGCTTTACTCTGTTCATGTCATCATAGTTAACTCTACTTTGTCATCAGTCAACTCTTCCCCAGTCATATTTCCAGTGCCTTCCAAGCTGAGAGGCTCATCTTCCAGCACTGTATCTGTCAATATGCTGGCGTCCTTCAGCATGTGTGCATAGCTGATGTTCTGATGCTATCTGACGGTGTCCCACTGCTACTCATAAGGTTTTCAGTGACTAAATATTCGGAAGTAGTCAGTCTCTCCTTCCTAGTTTGTCTTTGTCTGGAAGCTTATCTGAAACCTGTCCACCATGGGTGACCCTGCTGGTATTTAAAATACCAGAGGGATAGTTTCCTGAATCACAGCAACATACAAGCCACCACACTACGACAAACTGACAGACGAGTGTTCATAGAGATCCTGCAAAGGACTTCCAAGGAGTAGCTGGTGGGTTTGAACCACCGACCTTGAGGTTAGGAGTCCAGTGCTGATCCCATAGTGCCACACCAGGACTCCAGAACTGCAAAAGAGGCTGATACTGGGAAATTTTTAACAGATAAATAACACACCAAAAACCCCACAAACAAATCTACTTGCCTAGCTGAAAAGCAATGTACTATTAAACAAAGGCAGGGAGATAGTTATACGATGTTTAAAAATACTTATACACAATAATGATTTTTTTTTAAATCCTGAATTGATAGTTGGTGGATCTTTCTTCACAAAAAGTAAAAATGATTGCAACTCTCCCAGGAAACAATTTATCATAAATAAAAGGTTTCTGAAATAAAACACTGCCAGTGATTGATTCATTTTCTGGCATGTTGTCTATGGTACCCACTCAAGTCATTTATATCTCTGGAAAAGAAATATGAAACACTTCAATGCCTCTGAAGTTAACTGTAACAGTTTTATTCTAATATTTCTCCCTTTACTCGAAAGGTAGAATCTTGATGTTATAAAAATATGTTACACATGGGGGAAAATACTCTATCTGCTATCTCATTCAATCTTCCTACTAGTTAAACAAAACAAAAAAGAACCCTAGTGGCACAAAGACGAAGTGCTGAGCTGCTAATGGGAAGGTTGGCAGTTCAAAACTCCCCCAGTGGCACTGAGAGAGAAAGGACTGGCAATCTGTTCCACTAGAGATTACAGCCAAATTGGATACTCAAATGGGGAGGGGAGGGCTACAAAGGCAAGAAGTGACTGGCTTACAAGCTTTCAAGAGGGAACCTGGTGCTAGGGAGCATGGAGGAAGGCAGAATCTCCAGTAGATACTATTCAATCTGTCTGGGCAGAGCTGATGAAAGGGGATGGGGATGGGTCTCTTGTGATACTGTAGTGAATAATTGTTATCAGGACGGACTATGAGGGTTGGAAATGCAAAGGTAGATGTTTTGTAACAAGGAAGGGAGTGATTAATTCTCCAGGATAGGAACGGAGGCCTCTGGGACCATCAACGGAGAAGAGCTGAGAGTGGGACCCTACCCAGAGAAACAGGGATGCCTGAGATAGAGACAGAGATGATGACGTGGAGTGATGAAGCGACTGGGGACTTTGGACCCTGAGAGGGAAAGGGACTGTGGGCCGAAAACTGAGGGGAGGAGAGGGAAGTGTAGGGGGCGGGTTTCTGGGATATACCCTTTGGGTGGTTGATGATGTATGGAGGGGAATGGAACCATGGCAATGAGATGTTATATTATGGAATGAATGTAAACTAAAGTTCTCCCATGTAAACTATCATATAATTCACAACAAAACATTTTAAAAAAAAGATTACAGCCAAGAAAACCCTATGGGACAGTTGTGCCTGCCTGCCTCATGGGATTCCTATGAGTTGAAATTGACTGAATGCACTTAACAACAACATTTAGTTAAAAAAATTAAGCATCATCAATTTAAAAATAGGCTTTAATAGCAACCAATTTTGGCATAAAGTTAAAGTTGAATGAATGGAAAGGAGCTCCATTTGTTCTATGCTGACCAAGTATAAGACGCCTGGTACATGTTACCTTGCTTAATTTTACAACAGCCCTAAAAAGCAAAACAAAATAAATTACAAAGATACATAAGTAACTTGAATTATGATACTAAAAACAAATCAACCTATTCCTCTCCCAACCTTCCAGAACCTCTTCCACTAAGTTCGCCTCCCTCTTCCTCTTCCCAACTCATGTTCATGGACAGGCTTACAAAGAGTGGAACAGTCAGCATTCACACTAGCAAAAAGATGCAGACAGCCTAAATAACCGTCAATGGAAAATTAGATAAACAAGCTTTGGTACATACACACAATGGAATACTATGCAACGGTGAAGAATAAATAACAATGTACCTGGAAAACACCTCATAACATGAATGAACCTGGAGGACATTTTACTGAGTGAAATTAATCAATCACGACAGGACAAATATTGTATGAGACCACTATTGTAAAAACTCAAGAAAAGGTTTCATGCTAAAAGAAACATTCTTTGATGGTCACCAGGGGTGGGAGGGAAGGAAGAGTAATTCACTGGCTAGCAGGTAGACACATGTTAATTTGGGTGATGGGGAGGGCAATATACAAGAGGAAGGTTTCCAGGAGAACGATAAAGATAGGTGAAGACACAGGGAGGTATGCAAGAGCTAAAGGGGACAGAGGTAAATAGCATTATATACAAAACCCTGGGACAACAGTGTTCTGTGGGTAGATACAAGGAAAGATACACAGGCTGAACAGATGTGGGAGGAAGAGAGGGAGTATACCCACAAATACATAAGGGTTTGAAAGAGGATATGTGTACATGGGTATTTTTCCCTTTCCTACAAACAAAACGATGAATGTGGTGGAGCATCGTTGTTCCTGTTAAGTGCCATCCAGTCAGTTTTGACTCATAGTGACCCTGTATAGGGTATCCAAGGAGCAGCTTGGGGGTTGAACTGCTGACCTTGCATTTAGCAGTTCAGTACTCATCCTATGATGCCACACCAGGACTCCATGGTGGAGCATACAAGGGACAAAATGATGAAAACTTCTTAGATATTATTAAACGTCTTAAAATAATGAATTGGGGGCTCAGCACCACAGTCTCAGGGGACACCATGATCAATTGGTATAATAGTCCACAAAGAGAATGTTCTACACCCTATTTTGGTGAGTAGCGTCTGGAATCTTAAAAAGTTATGAGTGATCATCTAAGGGACAACTACTGGTCTCTCCATGTGCAGAAGAAAGAAGAGTGATGAGAACTGAAGATGTTTGGAATCAATTCACCCAATGGATTAACAGAACATATGAACATCAGTCTCTGTGACTCTGAGACCAGAAGAATAAGATGGTACCTGGGTACCACTACCAACTGCTCTAAAAGG